CACCCTAGTGACCACAGAATCTTCACATTTCACTGTAAGATAGAGAGCTTTGTTGTGTTCGGTACCTTCCACAGGCAACTCGTCATCAGAGAAGGTGACCCTGTTCACCTCAAATATCTTGTTGGCAATCTTCTCCAAATGGTTCACTATGATTTTGTCGGGGACATGAGCTTCGTTCAGAATTTTCATCAGGGCCTGGCGATGCTCATATGAATGGATCAACAATGATAGCAAGGAAATCTGGGCAGGGGTCTTTCTCAACTGTTCCACGATGAAGTAATCTTGTACCTTCATTTTTCTCAAAAACTCCTCTGCCTCTTCTTCAGTGACTGGTTTCTTTACTAGAACTGGATTGTCTCTGAGTGTTTTATCTTTCCTTAACTCTTCCGGGGCAAAGCATCTCCTTGAACGAGTTAATCCCTGGGCCTCATTAACTTCTTCCTTCACTTCCTTCCCCTTATAAGTCACTATCACCCGCTCATAGTTCCATGGGATAGCCTTGGTGTTAATTACCGGCAGCTGGGTTACAGGCTTGATGATGACAGGGTCCGTGCGGGCACCCTCTACAAATATGATAGGCTTATTCGCAAACCTGGCACGATCACCTTTGACTTTTCTTGCTTTGCTACAGCATCACTTGGGGATCTCTTCTCAATTACCACAGATGGCTTATCATTTGGCATGCTCAACTTGTCTGCTAATCCTTCATCTATCGAAGAGGTGGCTTTTGTGACAACTGCACCCTTGATTGGCTTAACCTCACTAGATCGGATCATCATGACGGATTGCGAAGGCCGCTTGGGCTCTCCTTCCTTGTGTACTATCTCGATCATGTTTGTTTCATCATGGGCTGGCAACGGTTTCTGATTGATGTTGGGTGCTTCCGAAGTTTGGACCACAATCTAGTTGGTGTTTATGAGCTCTTGGATGTCATTTTTCAAATGCCAACACTTTTCCGTATCATGCCCCGGAGTACTAGAACAATATGCATAACTGAGGGAGTAATCTAAATTCTTTGGAGGAGGGTTTGGAAATTTCGACTCAATTGGCCTCAGCACATCCAGCTGCCTCATTCTCTGAAATAGGCTGGTATAAGACTCCCCCAGCGGGGTGAAAGTTCTCTTCTGCTGCAACCTCTCATTCCTGAATACTAGCTTGGGCCGGAAACCTGGACCGGCAGGATTTCGGTAGGTTCGCGGAGGTGGGTAAGCATTTTGTAGAGTTGGGTAGGTGTTTTGTGGAGCCGGGGCATGCCATTATGGGTACGAAGGAGGTTGAGTGTATGACTGGGCGTGGTGGACAGAATACTGAGGGTGTGATGATGGAAAGTAGTGTTGAGGTGGATTATATAGGGTTTGGGTGTAGGTTCGATGGTGGGGTAAAGGCTGGGTGTAATGGTGTGGCGTGCTCCTCGGACCAAGCCACGATCCTGATTCAACTGTTGCAACATCTTCTTTCTTCTTTTTTCCTATCACTCCTCCTGTACCATTTTGAATAGCTTGGGTGGTTGCTTTGATAGCTGAGTAGCTCGTGATTTTGCTTGATTTAAGCCCTTCTTCTACCATACCGTCCATCTTCACTACCTTGTTGAAAGACTTACCTATGGCCGATACCAGATGAACAAAGTAAGTAGGCTCTAGAGCCTGCAGAATGTACTCCACCATTTCACTTTCCTCCATCGGAGGGTTGACTCTTGCCGCATGTTCCCTCCAGCGAAAACCATATTCCCAGAAACTTTTTCCCGGTTTCTTCTCTATCTTGGTCAAAGACAAACGATCTGGAACAATTTCTATGTTGTATTAGAAGTGTCGCGTAAATGCTTGGGCCAAATCATCCCAGGTATACCATCTGCTGTGATCCTGACGCGTTTACCACTCTAATACCGTGCCACTCAGACTCTGGCTGAAGTATGCCATTAACAGCTCATCTCTCCCACCGGCTCCTCTCATTTTGCTATAAAATCCCCTTAAGTGGGCCACAGGGCCTCCGTGCCTGTCATATAAGTCGAATTTTGGCATTTTGAATCCAGCAGGCAACTGGACATCAGGAAACAGACACAGATCTTTGTAGGCCACACTCACTTGGCCTCCCAATCCCTTCATATTTCTGTGCGATTGTTCCGGGCTTCTTACCTTCCTGAACATCTCCTCCTATTCCAGGTTTTTGGGTAATTTCTCGGTCTCGACAGGAAGGTCGAAACGGGGGGTGTATGAGTAATGATCTGGGATTTTGAAAGTGGGCTCCGGGGTGTAATACTGGTTGTCTTGGGCTTGGAGTGCTGGTTCGCTGGAAGACCGGTGGAGGGTGGCTGGTGGAGGTGCCACTAAAACTGGGGTAGCTGGTGGAGGGGGACATGCGGTCGATTTGGCTAATGGAGCTTGGACAGTTTGGGAGGAGGAACCCGTATAGTGGTGGTAAAGGTTGAAGCTTGGGGTATGTTGTGGGGATAGATCGATGACAGGGGGTTCTTGAGCTAGCGGTGGGACGGAAGTGGGGTTGGCAGGATATGATGGAGGAGGATGCCCTTTCATCCATGCCTGGTACATCTCAGCCATCCGTTGTTTCAGCTTATACAACTCTTGTCCCAAGTTGAAATTGTTGAAGTTGGGGCAATTTCATGGCATTTCTATGCCAATTGAGTCAAAGTTGGATGGTGTTGCGCTTTGTCAGGAATTACAATCTTTGTCGATTAGGAATGTGGGTGATTTGGATGATATGGGTTTGATTGCAATTGGTAGAGGGTGTACAAGATTGGCCAAGTTTGAGATTCGAAATTGTAAGAAGATCACGATGAGAGGAATGAGAACGCTAGCTTCTTTGCTCCGGAAAAGTTTGGTTGATGTCAGTATATCTTGTTGCAAGAATCTTGGAGCGTCTTCTTCGTTGAAAGCATTGGAACCGATACAAGAACGTATCGAGAGGCTTCATATTGATTGTGTGTGGGATAGTGTTGAAGAAATTGAAAATCTTGATGGTTGTGTTGAATACGGGTTTGATCTCAATAAGGCCAATGGCGGTGAGGCATCAAGCCATCCTGCTGGATTCGGGGACGCATCTGGATCAGTTGATGACGATTTCATGTTAACAGGATAAAAGATGCAAGTACTCTATGATCTTAATAGTGTTTACGTGGTAAGAGAATGGCCATGGCAATGGATAGTGCGAACGAATATCGGGACGGCTGCA